CCACATTTCTGACAAGCACTTATTGACAAAAAAAATCTAAAATCTAGAATCTTGGGTCTTATTTTTGCCAGAATTTATTAAAATTATGATTTTTGTTGCCTACATAATAGTCAATATCTTAAGCTTGATTTTTTTCATGGAGATTCTTCAGAGTCCTCATAATTTGTTCTCTCTGTATAAATGTTATATATATTTTTGCTATCTTGTAAATAATTGTTAACAGAAACTCATTTCACTACAAAAAAAAAAGGAAATGATATAGGGAGAGTGAGCAAGGAAGGAAGAAAATATCGAAATAAACTTCACATTTCAAAAAACCTTTTTTAGCTGCAGAAATCTTTTTTTTTTAAGTAATCTCTGTTGGGGAACCTGGGTGTCTCAGTTGGTTATGTGTCTGACTTCAGCTCAGGTCATGATCTCACGGTTCATGGGTTTGAGCCCCATGTCAGGCTCTGTGCTGACAGCTCAGTGCCTGGAGCCTGCTTCAGATTCTGTGTCTCCCTCTCTCTCTGCCCCTCCCCAGCTTGGATGCTGTCTGTTTGTCTCTCTCTCTTTCCAAAAATAAATAAACATTTAAAAAAGTAATAAATAAAAAAAAAATCTCTGGGCCCAACATGGGGCTCAAACTCACAACCCCAGGATGAAGGGTCACATGCTCTACCAAATGAGTTGGCCAGCCTGCCCCTGCTGCAGAAATCTTAATCAAATAAGATATAATCCCATGCCCAAAGGGAAAAAAATTAACACTGATCTATTTGAAGAAGAAAGTGAGTATAGCTTCTCCTCTGCAGTACCCTACCATAGTCAAAAGGGGCCTCTGAGAAACTGGTAGGGTCCTAGAGCCTGAATTCCTAGGGGAAAGAAGTCTCTCAATGTCTGGAAAATGTTGATTTACCAATAGAATCAAACACTCCAAATAGAGCATTTTGCTTTTCTCACTAAAGGAAGATAGGTATTCAAGAGAAAGGATACTTAGTCTAAGAATTCTTTAAGAGGGGCTCCTGGGTGGCTTGGTCTGTTAAGCATCTGACTTTGGCTTAGGTCATGATCTCAGGGTTCATGGGTTTGAGCCCTGCACTGGGCTCTGTGCTGACAGCTCAGAGCCTAGAGTCTGCTTCAGATTCTGTCTCCCTCTCTCTGCCCCTCCCCCACTCATGCTATCTCTCAAAAAAAAATGTTTAAAAAATTAAAAACAAAAGAACTTTTAAAGAAATTCTGGCTCTTTCAACATAAAAATACTAGTGGTGACACTAAGTGATACATCTTCACTGTCACAGAAATAATAAAGTATATCTGTGCTTGAAAGTTAGGATTTCATGATATGTAAAGATGTTGCCCTGATAACTTAGTACCCAAAAATGAACAATATCCTCAGTGACTTCAACTTATTTATTTACAAATTAATATAGCAGCCCTAATTTATCTCATGTATTTGCTAAGGTAAATGAGTAAATATAAAACTAACAAATAAGGGGTGCCTGAGTAGCTCAGTCAGTTAAGCATCTGACTTCAGCTCAGGTCATCTCACAGTTTGTGGCTTTGAGCTCTGCATGGGACTCTGCACTGACAGCTCAGAGCCTGCAGCCTGCTTCAGATTCTGTGTCTCCCTCTCTTTCTTCCCCTCCCCTGCTCCTGCTCTGTCTCTCTCTCTCTCTCAAAAATAAATAAACATTAAAAAAAAAAAAAACTTAAGACTATATGTAAAATTTAGGGTCTATCTTATTTTTTTTTTCAACGTTTATTTATTTTTGGGACAGAGAGAGACAGAGCATGAACGGGCGAGGGGCAGAGAGAGAGGGAGACACAGAATCGGAAACAGGCTCCAGGCTCTGAGCCATCAGCCCAGAGCCTGACGCGGGGCTCGAACTCACGGACCACGAGATTGTGACCTGGCTGAAGTCGGACACTTAACCGACTGCGCCACCCAGGCGCCCCGGGTCTATCTTAAAAAATACCAACATGTTGCGGCACCTGGCTGGCTCAGTTGGTGGAGCATGTGACTCAATCTCAGGGTTGTGGGTTACAGCCCCATGTTGGGTATAGAGATTACTTAAAAATAAAATCTTTTTAAAAAATACCAACATTTCGGGGCGCCTGGGTGGCTTGATCGGTTAAGCATCCGACTTTGGCTCAGGTCATGATCTCACGGTCCGTGAGTTCGAGCCCCGCGTCAGGCTTTGTGCTGACAGCTCAGAGCCTGGAGCCTGTTTCCGATTCTGTGTCTCCCTCTCTCCCTGCCCTCCCCTGTTCATGCTCTGTCTCTCTCTGCCTCAAAAATAAATAAACGTTAAAAAAAAAATTTTTAAAAAAATACCAACATTTCAAAGTGAGAAAATCAGCCTGAATAGCCTGCATCAGCTTTTTAAAGAATTCATGGGCTGTGCTCACTTCAGCAGTACATATACTAAAATTGAAATGATACAGAGATTAGCATGGTCCCTGAACAAGGATGACAGGCAAATTCGTGAAGCATTCCATATTAAAAAAAAAAAAGAAAGAAAGAAAGAAAGAAAGAAAGAAAGAAAGAAAAAGGAAAAAAAAATTCATGTGCTACATTCTTGACCCTGAAACAACTTTTTTTTTAATTTAATTTATTTTTTAAATTTATACCCAAGTTAGCTAGTTAGCATATAGTGCAACAACGATTTCAGGAGTAGATTCCTTAATGGCCCTTACCCATTTAGCCCATCCCCTCTCTCACAACCCCTCCAGTAACCCTCTGTTTGTTCTCTATATTCAAGAGTCTCTTATGCTTTGTCCCCCACCCTATTTTTATATTATTTTTGTTTCCCTTCCCTTATGTTCATCTGTTTTGTATCTTAAAGTCCTCATATGAGTGAAGTCATATATTTATCTTTCTCTGACTAATTTCACTTAGCATAATACCCTCCAGTTCCATCCATATAGTTGTAAATGGCAAGATTTCATTCTTTTTGATTGCCAAGTAATACCCTATTTTGTGTGTGTGTGTGTGTGTGTGTGTGTGTGTGTGTGTGTGTGTGCATCTTCTTTATCCATTCATCCATCGATGGATATTTGGGCTCTTTCCATATTTTGGCTATTGTCGATAGTGCTGCTATAAACATTGGGGTGCATGTGTCCCTTCGAAACAGCATACCTGTATCCCTTGGATAAATACCTAGTAGTGCAATTGCTGGGTCGTAGAGTAGTTCTAGTTTTAATTTTTTGAGGAACCTCCATACTGTTTTCCAGAGTAGCTGCACCGGTTTGCATTCCCATCAGCAGTGCAAAAGAGATTCTCTTTCTCCGCATCCTTGCCAACATCTGTTGTTGCCTGAGTTGTTAATGTTAGCCATTCTGACAGGTGTGAGGTGGTATCTCATTGTAGTTTTGATTTGTATTTCCCTGATGATGAATGATGTGGAGCATTTTTTCATGTGTCGGTCGGTCATCTGGATGTCTTCTTTGGAGAAGTGTCTATTCATGTCTTTTGCCCATTTCTTCACTGGATTATTTGGTTTTTGGGTGTTGAATTTGAGAAGTTCTTTATAGATTTTGGATATTAACCCTGATACATCATTTGTAAATATCTTCTTCCATTCTGTAGGTTGCCTTTTAGTTTTGCTGATTGTTTCCTTTGCTGTGCAGAAGCTTTTTATTTTGATGAGGTCCCAGTAGTTCATTTGTGCTTTTGTTTCCCTTGCTTCCGGAGAAGTGTTAAGTAAGAAGTTGCTGCGGCCAACGTCAAAGAGATTTTGCCTGTTTTCTCCTCAAGGATTTTGATGGCTTCCTGTCTTACATTTAGGTCTTTCATCCATTTTCAGTTTATTTTTATGTATGGTTAAGAAAGTGGTCCAGGTTCATTTTTCTGCATGTCACTGTCCAGTTTTCCCAGCACCAGTTGCTGAAGAGACTGTTTTTATTCCATTGGATATTCTTTCCTCTTTGTCAAAGATTAGTTAGCCATATGTTTGTGGGTCCATTTCTGGGTTTTCTATTCTGTTCCATTGATCTGAGTGTCTGTTTTTGTGCCAAAAACAACTTTTTAAATGTTTTTTTTAACATTTATTTATTTTTGAGACAGAGAGAGAGAGAGCATGAACAGGGGAGGGTCAGAGAGAGAGGGAGACACAGAATCCGAAGCAAGCTCCAGGCTCTGAGCTGTCAGCACAGAGCCCGACGTGGGGCTCGAACCCACAGACCGTGATATCATGACCTGAGCTGAAGTCGGACGCTTAACCGATTGAGCCACCCAGGCGCCCCAAAAACAACTTTTTAAAAAAATATATTTTTTAATGTTTATTTATTTTTGAGAGTGAGTGAGACAGACTGCAAGTGAGGGTAGGGGCAGAGAGAGAGGGAGACACAGAATCTGAAGTAGGCTCTGAGCTGTCAGCAGAACCTGACATGGGGCTTGAAGTCACAAACCACAAGATCATGATGTGAGCAGAAGTTGGATGCTGAACTGACTGAGCCACCCAGGCACCCCTTAATACATTTTTTTGTTTATTTATTTATTTTGAGAGAGAGAGAGAGAGAGAGAGAGAGAGAACAAGCAGAGGAGGGGCAGAGAGAAGGAAAGACAGAATCCCAAGCAGGCTCCATGCCATCAGCCACAGAGCCTGATGCAGGACTCAAACTCACCAACAGTGAGATCGTGGTCTGAGCTAAAATCAAGAGTCAGATGCTTAACTGACTACACCACCCAGGTGCCCAACCATAAAACAACTTTTATCTGATTTCCCAACTGTGATGATCTGAAAAGATAAAAGGGCAGAATTTTAGGCAGAATAAACATCATTACTTGAATATTGTATTTCTCTAAGAAGTCCTTTTCAGGGGGGCCAGAACTGTGGCAGCCATATTCAAATCTGCCATAAGTCACATTGACAACTAAGCAAATAAAGAGTAATTATTAGCTGAGCTATAAAGGCAAGAGTGCTAATATGCTAAAATAGAATTACTTGACTGTTAATATTCCATTTTCTGTTTCCTTCAGAAAAGATGAGCTGTCACATCCACTTGAAAGGTTTGCATACCTGTCACATTTGTCTTTTGCCCTTTTCTTTTTCTCCTCAAATTGTTCCAAGAGGCCCTTTGATTTTCCAACTGACAAAGGAAGAGGAAATAAGCCTCTATCATTTGTATTTCCCCCAAATAGCTGGGGTTTTGTCTGGTATTTTGTGAAAATACTTGGTTCACTCTGTTAAATGAAGAAAAAATCATAGCATTTCATACATGCAAATATTTATAGCATTCACTATTTTCTACATAATATAGTCACATTTAAGTGTAAACAATAACATTAAAAAACAACATGGCATGTAGTATTTCCTTTTTATTCCATATTCATCAGAAAATCATATTAAAGAAACTCTTTTTATTAATAAGGTTCATGCCTTACCAGCACAGAGATATTTAAAATATCAGCTAATTGGAGTATCTGGCTGGCTCGGTCAGTAGAGCATGTGACTCTTACTCTCAGGGTCATGAATTCAAGCCCAATGTCAGGTGTGGAGCCTACTTTAAAAAAATAATAAAAATAAAATATCAGCTAAGATGGCTTAAAATCAGTTGCACAGGGGTGCCTGGGTGGCTCAGTCGGTTAAGCATCCAGCTCTTGATTTCGGCTCAGGTGATGATCTCACAGTTTGTGAGTCTGAGCCCCACATCAGGCTCTGTGCTGATAGTGTGGAGCCTGCTTGGGATTCTCTCTCTCCCTCCCCCCCCCTTTCTCTGCCCGTCTTCCGCTTGCTCTCTCTTTCTCTCTCTCTCTCTCTCTCTCACACACAAAATAAACTTTGAATAACTTAAAAAAAAATCAGTTGCACAAATTTGAAGGCAATAACTGAATTATTTATGCTGTCTCTGAGATATGTTAAAGTTTTCACATTAATAGGTTAACTCAATTACTGTTGAACTAAACATAATAAATTTCACATGGACTGGACAGTAGGCATGCTGGCATATGGTGAGCCATTTCCTGCATTTGAGGCAACACTTACTCTGAAACATTCAGGGAGTACATATACTCCTTCATATCACTGGGTACCAATTTTTGTATCGAAATACTTATCTGAGAGCATACTCTACTATCTTAAAGCACTGACTTAATCTTATCCATGGAGTCTCTGTTTGATGCAGGTTAAGTCTGTATATAAAGTTAAATCTAGTTTTAAACCAAAATAAATAAATATGTAAAAATATTTCTGACCCACTAAAGAAGACAGGCTGGGCTCAGAAAATTGAGGACTCACAAGACTCTATTCTTGATTCTGGCCCATATTCACTAACCAAGTCCTCAGAATCCTCATGTCCTTCTTCAAGGAAATAATGTAGCATAATAGACTAAAATCCACAAAGCATCTAAAGTTTCTTAGGAAAAAATGTCCATATAAAATAAAATTTATGTTACTTTATTCCTATTTTTCTAAAGCTCTTCTTTCTTATGAAATTTTCACAAACAATAGTATGTCTTAGAAAATGTCATGCAGGGGCACCTGGGTGGCTTAGTTGGTTAAGCATCTGACTTCGGCTCAGGTCAAGATCTCATAGTTTGTGAATTCAAGGCCCACATCGGGCTCCGTGCTGACAGCTCAGAGCCTGCAGCTTGCTTCAGATTGTGTGTCTCTGTCTCTTTCAGTCCCTACCCCACACACCCCTGTCTGTGTGTGTGTCTCTCTCTCAAAAAATAAATAAGCATTAAAAAAAAATTTTTTTTTTAAATATCATGCAATATTTGGCTCCCTCTAAGAGGATCAAGGTACTGGCAATATTCTATATTGCTTTAGTAATAGAAGAAACTGCAAATTAATATTTTTTTCCATTTCAGACTACCAAATTTGACCCCAAGACTACCGGAGTACTGAATTACCAAACAAGCACAAATCCATTTAGGAGAGTAATCCTTAGAGATGTATAAATCTAAAAAACAATCCAACAGAATAAGTCTTTATAGCTTATCTCCATAATGACTATGAAATGCATGCAGAGCAACTGTGGAAATGAGACTCACGTCCAGAGAATTCTGTTGTGACTGTTTTGGGTGTCTCAAGTAGACAACAGAGTCCAAGGGTGCTGACAGCGTCTCTGAACTTTCTGGACAGAACTGTGATCCAAAGAGGAACTGGGAATCACTGAGACTGGAGTGATCAGTCTGATTATTATTCCCGCTAGAGGAATTAGTGGTCCTGAAATTAAGCAAGAAAAGAAAAGTATAGCAAGTAGACAAACATCCTGAACAAATGAAATCATAATTCACAACTATTCATTTCAGAATATCCTGGGCAGAGTACTAGTTTGTTCTGATCTAATCCCCTGCACACTGCCAGTACTACCCACAAAGAAACACAAAGTAATTCTGAATGTCAGACATTTTGATTATAGCAACTTAAGAACAATCCGATGGAAATTCAAACATTAAGGACTGACACTATTACTTGTGGTACAAGAGCACTGTGGGCTATGACACCATTTTGGAGATCAAAGTTCCTGAAATCTTTAGGGATTAAAAGAACATTATCTTTCAAAAAGTTGAATCTATTGGGGCGCCTGGGTGACTCAGTCTGTTAAGTATTGAATGCTTGATTTCAGCTTGGGTTATGATCTCACAGTTTGTGAGTTCAAGCCCCATGTTGGGCTCCGTGCTGATAGTGTCAGCCTGCTTGGGATATTCTCTCTCTCTCTCTCCCAAAATAAATAAATAATTAAACTTTAAATAAAGTTGAATTTGTTAATCACTAAGGGAATAAAGTAACTGATGCATTAGTCTGAAGTAATAAGCTAGATTTACATATAGCCACATGGATAAGTCTCAAAAATGTAATTTTGAGCACAGAGAGTAAAAATTGAATGAACTCACATATCATTTATATAACCTTTTAAATATACATCATAGCACACCAAACAAGTATGTAACTAAGTGTATAGAAGTGTACAGAACTCTCATTAACTCTCTTAGAGTATGCCTACAGGGAAGGAAGGGACCAGAATTAGAGGGAGAGTGGGAATCATAACAGAAAAAACACAGGACAACTTAGTTATGGACTGAATATTTGTGTCCAAATTACTATGTTGAAGTTCTAATTCCTAAGGTGATAGTATTTGGAAATGGGGTCTTTGGGCGGTAATTAGGGTTAGACATGGTCATAAGGGCAGGCCTTCATGATGAGATTAAGGTCCTTACAATAAGAGATGCCAGAGTTTGCCCTCTCTTTTAAAAAAAAAATTTTTTTTTAATGTTCATTTATTTTTGAGAGACAGAGACAGAGCACAAGCAGGGAAGGGGAAGCTAGAGGAGACACAGAATATGAAGAAGGCTCCAGGCTTCAAGCTGCCAGCAGAGCCTGACGTGGGGCTCGAACCCATGAACCGTGAGATCATCACCTGAGCCAAAGTTGGATGCTTAACTGACTAAGCCACCCAGGCACCCCTCTTTTTTTTTTTAATTTTATGTTTTTATTTATTTTTGAGACAGAGAGAGAGAGAGCATGAGCAGGGGAGAGGCAGAGAGAGGGGGAGACACAGAATCTGAAGCAGGCTCCAGGCTCTGAGCTGTCAGCACAGAGCCCAACGTGGGGCTCGAACTCGCAGAGTGTGAGATCATGACCTGAGCTGAAGTTGGACGCTTAACTGACTGAGCCACCCAGGCACCCCCCTTTTTTTTTTAAGTTTATATATTTATTCTTTGAGAGAGAGAAAGAGAGAGAGCAGGGGAAGAGCAGAGAGAATCCCAATCCCACTGACAGTGCAGAGCCCAATGCAGGGTGGAACCCACAAACTGTGAGATCATGACCTGAGTTGAAACCAAGAGTTGAATGCTTGACTAACTGAGCCACTCAGACACCTCTCTCTTTCTCCTTCATGTAAGGACACAGAGAGAAGACAGTTGTCTGGAAACCAGGAAGGGAGCCCTCATAAGAAATTATCTGCCTGGCATACGGTTCTAGGACTTCCAATCTTCAGAACTGAGGAAATAAATTTCTATTGTTGAAACCATCCAGTTTAGGGTACTTTGTTATGGCAGTCCATCAGACTAATAGGCCTCATCCAGACTGAAGAATATGATCAACTCAGATTTGTGCACAGGAGGATCCATTAAAAATTGTTTTTGAGGGGCGCCTGGGTGGCGCAGTCGGTTAAGCGTCCGACTTCAGCCAGGTCACGATCTCGCGGTCCCTGAGTTCGAGCCCTGCGTCAGGCTCTGGGCTGATGGCTCGGAGCCTGGAGCCTGTTTCCGATTCTGTGTCTCCCTCTCTCTCTGCCCCTCCCCCGTTCATGCTCTGTCTCTCTCTGTCCCAAAAATAAATAAAAAACGTTGAAAAAAATTTTTTTTAATTGTTTTTGAAACAAGGTGGTATTCCCTTTCACACCTTTAGTGTCTTATTCTTGCTTGCTCTAAGTACTTCCAGCTGTGGACTTCCAACTTGCTTCCCATAGATATATACATTTAAACCTCACATATGGGGGTACCTGGGTGGCTCAGTCAATTGAATGGCCAACTCATGATCTTGGCTCAGATCATAATCCCACAGTTTGTAGAATCATGCCCCAAGTCCGGTTCTGTGCTGGCAGCCCAGAGCCTGCTTGGGATTCTCTCTCTCCCTCTCTCTCTCTGTCCCTACCCTGCTTGTGCACATTTGCATGAGCTCTCTCTCCTTGTCAAAGTAAATAAATAAACATTTAAAAAAAAGAAACATCTCAATAACAACTTGGGTTACTTAATGCTGTTGTGTAACCTAAAAAAACATGCTTTTTATTAAAATGCACAAACACAAATCATTCCTTTTAATAAAGCTAAATTAAAGTAATTACATAGCATATAAGTACATAATCCAAGCCAACATATACTAATGCAAGACAAAAAGAAACTCTAATAATTCAGCACAGGAAAGAGCAATTATTTTCACTCATAGAACCATTTTCTAAGATTAGCTAAGGTAATGGGCTGCACGCATATATTATAATATGGGTTGCATAATCATTGCTCAAAATAGCTTAAATAGCTCTCTATGACTCCCCTCTTAGGTTAAAGAGAATAATTAGCTGTGCTGGATAAAAAAAAAACTGTGAGCTTCCAGAAACCACATAGGATTTACATCTTAAAGCCAGGATCTGGAATTTAACAAAGATTTTCTCTGTATCAACTGAAAGCATTTTTTTTCTTTTTGAGAAATAAAAAGCACAATGCTCTAGGTTTTGCTGAATTAATAACTGTCTTCAGGAAGGTATTAGAAAGAAAAGAAACTAATAATAAAAGCATACCAAAAGCAATTAAAAATCCCTTAAATATATACTAATTCTGGGGCACATCCACCAAGTTAGCAATGGCAAGTCCACTGCATGGCTGATGGACACCAATATAAGTACCTCAGTGGAGTAGTAGAAGGGGCAGTATTTCAGTGAGCCTTGTCAACAGCTGGAGTAGCTCTTAACTCCACAGTACCTACAAATGGTACCACACAAATGAATACGTATCTAAACATTGTCTTGATTTGATCCTTGCTGTTTCAATAGAAATCACTCCAACTGAAGTCAGTTTCTAGATTGTTAGGCCATTTCTAATTCTTACAGGCCTCATACTCCAGAGGCCTAGTTCTGGACACAGAGCCACTGCTCAATTAACACAAATAGCTAAATTGACATTGCTTTTATCATCAGAACATAGGCGGAGGGGCGCCTAGGTGGCTCAGTCGGTTAAGCATCCGACTCTGGATCTCAGCTCAGGTCTTGATCTCCGGGTTGTGAGTTCAAGCCCTGCACTGGGCTCCATGATGGGTGTGAAGCCTACTTTAAAAAAAAGAAAAGAAAAGAAAATAGGCAAAAGGAAAAAGACAAATAAGGGAGAGTGTAGCAGTGAAGGGAAAAGAAGGGAAAAAAGCTGTATGAAGTCACCCTATTACTAATAAACTAATAGGAAAGGTAGCCTTTTTCAATGAAATCAATACAACTATAAGACCTTCATTAAGTATCAGAGTATATAACTTACCCAGAACCTGAGGGAATACTGAGCATCTCTTTGATATTCCAGACGTTAAAATTCATTTCTTATGGTTAGTCCTATTGAAAAGAGAGGAATATTAATTTAAAAGGTTAAGTATAACTTTCCCCCCAAAGATGACTTTACTGGTGACTGTTATATATGGATGAAGACATTTCAGCAACTATATTCCCATTCAATTGGTGAAAATTCCCATTACCTCTGTGTCAGAAACAGGTATTTTGGGGGCACCTGGCTGGGTCAGTCAGTGGAATGTGTGACTCTTGATCTCAGGATTGTGAGTTTGACCCCCCACACTGAGTGTAGAGATTACTTAAAAATAAAATCTTTAGGGGGTGCCTGGGTGGCTCAGTCGATTAAGCATCTGACTTCAGATCAAGTCATGATCTCATGGTTCATGGTATCGGGCCCCGAGTCAGGCTTTGTGCTGACAGCTCAGAGTCTGGAGCCTGCTTCAGATCTGTCTCTCCCTGTCTCTCTCTGCCCCTCCCCCGCTCACACTCTGTCTCTATCAAAAATGAATAAACTTTATGGGGTGCCTGGATGGCTCAACTGGTTAAGCATCCAACTTCAGCTCAGGTCATGATCTCACAGTCTGTGGGTTCAAGCCCCACGTCAGGCTCTGTGCTGACAGCTCAGAGCCTGGAGCCTGCTTTAGATTCTGTGTCTCCTTCTCTCTCTGCCCCTTCCCTGCTCGTGCACTATCTCTCTCAATCAAAAATAAACATTAAAAAAAATTTTTTTAATGAATAAATGTTAAAACATTAAAAAAAAAATCTTTAGGGGCACCTGGGTGGCTCAGTTCGTTAAGCATCCAACTCCTGATTTCAGCTCAGGTCATGATCTCAGTTTGTGGGATTCAGCCCTGCATCAGGCTCTGCACTGACAGCAAGTAACCTGCTTGGGATTCTCTCTCCCCCTCTCCCTGCCTTTTTTTCTCTCTCTCAAAATAAAGAAACCTAAAAAAAAAAGTAGAGTTGGGATAACTGAATAACTACATGAAAAAAGATTAAGATTGGATCTAATCCTTTCACCATACACTACAAAATATCCAAATGGATCAGAGATAATATAAAAATGAAATCATAAAACAACCAGAGGGAAAGCTGATGAAACTTCAGCTCAGGTCATGATCTCACAGTCTGTGGGTTCAAGCCCTACGTCAGGCTCTGTGCTGACAACTCAGAGCCTAGAGCCTGCTTCAGATTCTGTGTCTCCCTCTTTCTCTGCCCCTCCCCTGCGCGCTTGCACACACTCTCTCTCTCTCAAAAATAAATAAACATTAAAAAATTCGTTAATCATAGAGACTGTTTTCTTTTGTATAAAGGTGGTAAAATGCAAGTATAATAATGTACTCTGTTACTGAGGCTGGAAGGAATGAGGCACTTTCAAGCACTTCTGCTGGGAAGCCTCTGTGGAGGAGAATTTGGCACTATCTAGAACATTTAAAAATGTATTTACTGTTTAATCCAGCAATCCTACTTCTAAGGATTGGGATCTATGCCAATAATACTTTGACAGAAATAGAAAATTATATATACACATGTCTCTTCAATACAATACCATTTGTAATAGCAAGACCATAAACAACTCAATACCCATCAGTTGGTGAATAGTTGAACAAACTATGGTATATTCATACAATGGAGTTTTATGGAACTGTTAAAAGGAATATATATTCTTGTGTATATAAGATATACTTCAATATACTCTGGGAGTGACCTCCCAGAATATTGCTAAGCACAAAGAAAAAAAAAAAAAAAAAGGTAAGGTGAAGAATAGTGTATGTGGTATGCAATATTTCATCCAAAAATGTCAAGGGAACATGAATATAAATAAATATACACACATAGCAATGTGCTTATTTTTTTTAAGTAAGGAAAGAAGAAAAGCAAGGAGGAAGAGAGAGATAAGAAAAATAGATAAACTGAAAACCAACAAAAACGTTTACCTTGGAGGGCAGAGATAGGGTGGAGAGGCTAGAAATGAAAACTAGACTTCTCCAACTGTAGCAGTTTTTACAGTTTCAACTTTAGAATAAGTACATATAATCACATAGTTACAAAACAAAATTAAAAAATGGGGAAAACCAAGCAATTCCTACAAAGGAGCAAAATGGAACATACAAGTTGGTTATTGAGCCCCACAAGAAGGGTCTATTTCCTGTGCCTCTAAATATGATAATTTGATACCACATCTCTAGTGAAGTGTAGCCTAAAGACAAAATGAACAGTAAAGGAATCTGTGTATTTGTTTTCAGTAATCATAGTTAGTAAAAAAAATATATATATATACATATATATGTATAATATACATATATATAGACATACATGTAATATACATACATATATACATGTAGCATCTATCAGAATACAGCAAATCAATAATATATTAATGTAGTCATTGGGAATAAAAATTTTCAGTGTATGAGAAAAGAGATAGAAATACAAAATAAGGTTAAGCAAAAACCCTATAATCCTAGGTCTGAAATAAATAGAAAATTATTAGTAATTCTTGATGTACAATCTTAGCACCCAGCTTTTGGTCTTGAAATACCATTCACCACTAAAAGGAACCAGTTCTGGGGCAGAAAATGTACAACTTGAGTCTGGGATATCTAGTCCCAGAGAACAAGGAAGCTATCAAAGACTACCAGGGCCAAAGATTACTGGAGAGCTAGCTTAAAGGGCTCCCTCTGTTAAATTTATAGTTTTTAAAACCTTCATCAGTCACTTTGGAAGATATGCAACCACCTTATTATTTTGAAAGCTGGTAGGGTAGACAAAAGAATCGTTTCTCTTACCTTTCTAGGAAGATGCACTTCAAAGTAACCAACATATAGATGTGAGAATGTTCTTTATAGAAGTATTTCAGCTAATAAACACAGAATGAATGGTACAATTAGATTATTACCATTTTGGAGGTGCAATGAAAATAATGGATCTAGACAATGATCATAAATGGCTGTTTAAACCATGAGGTGAAAGGTAATAGGAAACTTTATAATGAATAGATCAGGCTGAAAACACCTAAATCCTTCAGTTGACCTTTTATTCACAAAGACAGAAACCAGCCCTAGTATGAGCCTCTTGAGGTTCAACAGGAGGTGCCAAGCATTACCAAAGAAGTAAGTATACTTGCCAAAAATATTGATCCCTAATCTAATTAACCTTCTAGATGTAAGGACCAGTATACAGAAAATACAGTGGTTAAATAGAACCAGTGGAATGGAATCAGCAAAATCCAGAGGGGTTAATTCTACAGTTTAAATGATCATATTCTTTTAAAGCATAAGAGGCAAGAAAAAAAAGAGATGTGGGAGACTATAAATTAGAAGAGATTTATGAGCCACACCAACCAAATACAATGTGTTTGGATACTGAATTATAAGAAAGCAATTAAGAAAATTTAAACATTGACTAGCTACTTAATGATATCAATAAATTGTTACTTTAAGTGTGGTAATGATATTGTGGTTATGATAAAAACAGAGTCCTTATCTTTTATACATACATAAATTTTAAATTAATAAAATAATCTCCAAAACTTTTGTTTTGCTTTAAAATAACAGAGATGGATTAGGGGACCTGGAAAGGGGTACAGACTACCCCTGGGTTGATAATTGTTGAAGCTAGGTGATGGGTACATTGGCATTCATTCATCCAATGATTTCTACTTGACATGTTTGAAATTTTCCACACAAAAAATTGATGTATGAATTGGTAAATGCCTGTATTAGCTGACAACACCCAACATTGTTACCTCCAGCCCAGACCCCTCTCCTGAACTTCAGACTCCTATATTCAAGTGCTGGCCTGACGTCTCTACTTGGGTGACTAATATGCACCACAAACCAACATGTCCAAAACTAAGATTGTCATTTTTTCCCCCAAAACATTCTCCACCTACAGTCGTCCTATTCCAGTTAACAGCAACTCCATCTTTCTAGTTGCTCAAGCCAAAATCTAAGAGTCCTCTTTGACTCTCTTCTCACATCCAGTCTGTCAGCAGATACTATGATTCCTTCAAACATATTCAGAATCTGTCCACTTTAAGTTCCTTCTTCTATAGGTTTACCAGATAAAATATAGGATGCTCAAATTTGAACTTCCCAAATATTGCCCAGGACACACTTGTACTAAAAAAAATATTGTTTACCTGAAATTCAAATTTAACTTGGTGTCCTGTATTTTTATTTGCTAAATCTGACAACTTTAGATTCAGAGTTCCTCTAACCTTAAGTCAGATCATGTTACCCCTGCTCCTACCCTACTCCAATATAAGCCAGAATTCCCATGATTATCTCTGGTGTCTGCAATCTCCCCTTAGCCCTGCTTTTTTCCCCATCTACACTCCATTCCACACTTCTTATGGGGCTTCTCACTGCTGCTTTCCCTTGCTGGGAACCAGCACCACAACCAGAACCACAACCAGCTTCAGGCCCCTTTCCCATACTGTTTTCTGCACTTGGATCACTCTTCCTTCAGATTATCAGCATAATAGGCCAAACCACATCCACCACCTCCAGGGGTTCTCTCAAATTATTCAAAACTGTAGCACCTCAATAATCAATGTTTCTTCTCTGCTTTTTCTCCAAAGCATACCATTATTCTAATACACTATATATTTTTAAATTTTACCTTGTTTTGTCTGTCTCAGCATGCACATCCAAGCCTACAAGAATGTAATGTTAAGCTCTTTGAGGATAGGAATTTTTGTGTTCGGTTCACTGCTATATCCTCAGACTCTAGAAATTGTGCCTGGCACATAATAGGTGCCCAGAAAATACTTACTGTTAAATCAGTTGTTGTTGTTTTTTTTTTTTTTTTAAATGAGAACTAAATTAGGACAATAGAGCAAAACTTTCCAAGTATCCACAAATTTAAAAATACATATGATTTGGTTTTAATTATTACATTTCAAATCCCTAGATCTGCATAGACTTATTACATATTTAAAAAAAGAAGAAGAATTGAAGTAAATCTAGGATTCCTGACTCATGTTTACTTATTTCTTTGATAGTCTGAGCTTTTTTCTTCCATCAACACTTCAGAAATTCTTCCTTCTAGAGTCTTGATTTAGCATCTAGACAATTTTACATACATCACTACAAGACCATTATTACTACATCTAGATGTACATCCTTTATCATCTTCCATTTCTGTTTATGTTGAGAAAGGAGAATAATTTATGCAGTATGTGGCTTGGGGTTTAGAATAACTATGCTCCTGGTTCCAGACCAAACTTACTCCTAAGAGATTTCTTACATGTTGAGAAAATCCCATGGTTGCACCCTTGCCTATGTCTAAGGACCACATGGGGCTTGATGTGCTCAGCCTCAGGTTTATCTGTTCTCTATGCATTTACCTGTCACCATGCTACCTATTATAGGCTTTAAATTCCCAGAGGGCAGAAATCCCATCTGCCTATACCTATCCTTGTAGATGCTAGCACACTAGTAATGAAGTAGTAGTCATTCTTAGGTGGGACACTAGGTAAATGAAAACTGAAATGCACACATTACAAACTTCCAAGGGCAGGGTTCTCTCTCCCTCTCATCTCCCAATCCTATTAGAAGAAGCATAAAAGCAGAGGAAACGTTTAAGTGCACGCAAGGTATACAACTGTCTCCCTAGGAAGGGCGCTGGCAAGGAGTTAGGCAAGGGAGAAACATGTGTGCTGAAGAGAATGCCCTAAGGGGAAGTACACCACCGCCACCATCTGACCCCCGTCTTCAACACTGAGACTCCTGAGGCCACAGTGTGAGGTCCTCCACATGCTCTTCTGGCTCCTCCACTCGGTCACTGAAAAAAACAGTTCTCTCTCTCAGACTTTGTGCCCCTTGGGCCTCGACCAGGCCCTCCTAAACCTCATACGACCGTTCACTCTCATCTTCAGTCTCTTTTCAATTAGGAGACACGCTCTGGGCTCCCAGACTAAATCATTCAGATGTCCTTTCCAGAGGCCTCCAAGGGATACTGCATAATTATAAGGCAAATCCCAGTTTCCCGGGTTCCTGTTCACGCTTTCTGGGCCGATTCTCTTTCTTGCGTCTCCTAATCCCAGACTCGGGATGAGAGGCTGTGGACACCCGGGAATCTAACGAAAACAACTCCAAAGATGAGCACAGAAAGTCTCCTTGAAGAACCAGAGAGGTCTTCCGTCACAGAAAAAGAATGAATGGCTAGGAATTCCAGGACAAGGATCAAGTTGGACAACCCGGCGTCCCGAGAAACTCCTCGACGTCGCTAGAAATCTCGAACCTGTACTCAAGGCCCCTGTATGGCTTCCCGACCTCTCCACCTTCACCCCCTCCCCCTCCCTGCCCTTCCAGGCCAAACCCCTCCCGCCTCCACCTCTGAGGGACAGCTCGCGCCCCACCTGGGGCGTCTCTGATCTTACCTCAAGGCTACTTAGACCCACTGAAGTTGCCTGAGCATGCGTGGTCCCGCCCCCAAGGCCCTATCTGACCAATGAGGATTAAGTCCTGCCTTCTGGGCCCGCCCCCTCTGCCGCATTGCGTTAAAGGTTTTAACTGGCGTGCCGGTTTTACCAGCACTTTCATTGGCCAGGCCAGGCGGTCTACCTCGGGGCGAGTACTGCTGCATGCCTTACCTGTCCCACGTGTACCTCTCAAGAGGTACCTGCGTGTCTCCACATTCACACCCAGCTGCCACCCACACCCCACCCAGCATCCCCTCAGCAAGGCAGACTGCTCAGGAGTTACCTGACACACACCCTGCTGCATGCGGAGAGGACTGTGTGCCCAGCGGCTAGGACATGGCTAGGGCCCAAGTGGTCCTAACAAGAGCTGGGTAAGGGGAGCCGCTGGGAAGAGAGGAGCTGTGGTCAAAAGGGAACACAGAACTGGGGGCCTGGCCTGTTGGGGAAGGAAAGGCAAGAAATAGTCCAAGGTACCTTGCCTGCTAGGTACTGACTGGGGCAGCCTGAGGGCAGAGTGGACAGGGGCAAAGGGTGTTGGGCGGAGGGGGTCTATGTAATTCTGCCTCTAATGGTTATAGATGGCCTTTAAAGTCGTGAAATAGAGAGTTCACCAATAAAGTTGCATGGATGGAAAACATTGTGTTGATTGAGCCCCAGGACACACACTTTAGAGGCCTAGATAAGGAAAAAGCAGTGAAGGACCCAAAGTAGGTGTGGTCAGGGACAGGGGAGGGACACCAGGAGAGTGAGGTGCTGTGGAAGCCTCCTGGACCATCCTTCAAAGAGGAGGAGGAGACCAGCTATTTTGTTAGGTGGGAGAATGGAGGTTTGATTGGAAGGCTGGTTCTTGGATTCCCCAGGAAAGATTTACATGAGGATCCCCACTGGAATAAAGACAGCCAGAGGAAGGTAGCAAGCACAAAGCAGTTTATTAGGTTTATTAAGATGGGAAAGTGGGCAGGCCCAGAGATGGCAACTGTCTTTAAGATGGGTGTCTTTTCTTTTTATGTTTGCATAGTTTATGGGTCATAGCTAGGGCCAACTCTGACTGAGAAGGGAGGACTCCTACTGGTTGGGAGGGGGAATTTTTGGCCCTACAAGGTTCTTGCTGGAATTGTCTTGGCCATCTTGCCCATGGGGTTGGGGGTGTGAAACCCACAATGTAAATATATTATAATGAACCTAGGGAGTCACTTTGGGGCAGAGGTTGAAGTGAGAGTGCACATTCTGCACCTATGGCTCTTGGTCTGTCAGCCCCTGGGTTTTAGAAGCCATAAGACTAAGATTTTAAAAGCCACAAAGTTAGACTTTGTGCCCTCAGGCTTCTAATATGTCACCTATTTATCACAGTCCTTGCCTCAAGCTCACGTCTAACTAACTGCCTACTTCATCAATGTCAGATGCTCCTGATGGGTCAAGGAAAATGAAAAGTAAGAATTAATTATGGGTGACCTTGACAGAAGCAGTTTTAATCATTGTAGTAGGGGCGAAAACCTGATTATAACTAAGTGTGTGGATTCAAGGCATCTGATAAAGGACTGTTATCCAAAATATATAAAGAATCCTTAAAACCCAACAATAAGAATACAACCCGATTTTAAAACGGGCTAAAAATCTAACATAATGCACCAAAAAAAATATATATATATATATAGATGGCAAATAAGCATATGAAAAGATGCTCAATATTATATATCACTAGGAAAGTGCACATTAAAACAATAATGAGGGGCGCCTGGTTGGCTCAGTCAGTTAAGTGACTAGACTCTTGATTTCCCAACTCTTGATTTCGGCTCAGGCCATAATCTTATGATTCATGAGTTTTAGCCCACATCAGGCTTCATGCTGGCATTGTGGAGCCTGCGTGGGATTCTCTCTTTCTCTCTGCCCTTCCCCTGCTCGTGTTCTCTCTCTGAAAATAAATAAACTTAAAAAAAATGAGCTAGTACTACACACCTGTTAGAATGGCCAAAATCCAGAACAAACACAAAATGCAGGTGAGGATATGGAGCAACAGGAACTCTCACCACTAATGGAAATGCTAAATAGTACAACCACCTTGGAAGATTGTCAGTTTCTTTTTTTATTTAAAAAAAATTTTTTTTTTCAACATTTATTTATTTTTGGGACAGAGAGAGACAGAGCATGAACGGGGGAAGGGCAGAGAGAGAGGGAGACACACAGAATCAGAAACAGGCTCCAGGCTCTGAGCCATCAGCCCAGAGCCTGACGCGGGGCTCAAACTCACGGACCGCGAGATCGTGACCTGGCTGAAGTCGGGCGCTTAACCGACTGCGCCACCCAGGGGCCCCTGAAGATTGTCAGTTTCTTACAAAACTAAATATAGTCTTGTTATATGATCTAGCAAATCATGCTCTTTGGTATTTACCCAAAGGACTTGAAAACTTATGTCCACACAAAAACCTGCACATGGATATTTATAGCAGCTTTATTACATAATTGCAAAACAAGCAAGCAAGATATCATTTTCAGTAAGTGAATGAATAAATAAACTGTGGTACATTCAGACAATGGGATATTATTAAGCACTAAAAAGAAATGAGCTATCATGTTAGGCAAAGACATAGAGGAAACTTAAATATATCTTCCTAAGTGAATATATATCAAAAAGATTCCAACCATTTGACATTGTGGAAAGGGCAAAATTATGGAGACAGTAAAAGGATCAGTGGTTACCATGGGTTAGGGGGTTGGGAGGTGGAGCACAGAGAGTTTTTAGGACAGTGAAACTATTCTGTATGATACTATAATGGTGCATACGTGTAATTGCATTCGTGTAATTGCAGTATACATTTGTCCAAACCCATAGAATATACAACTCCAAGAGTGAACTATGGACTTTGGGGAATAATGACATGTCTATTTAAGTTCAGCAATTACAAGCGTGCTATTCTGGTGGGAGGTATTGATAATAGGAAAGGTTATGCATGTGTGGGGCAGGAGGTATATGAGAAATCTCTTCCACTCAATTTTGCTGTGAACCTAAAATTGCTCTAAAAGTCTATTTAAAATATACATATAGGAGCGCCCAGGTGGCTCAATCGGTTAAGTGTCTGACTTCGGCTCAGGTCATGATCTCATGGTTCTTGAGTTCAAGCCCCGCGTCGGGCTCTGTGCTGACAGCTTGCAGTCTGGAGTCTGCTTCAGATTCTGTGTCTCCCTCTCGCTGCCCCTGCCCTGCTCATGCTGCTCTGTCTCTCTCCCAAAAGTAAATAAAAACATTAAAAATTTAAAATATATATATATGTATGTGTACATATATTAGGGGCACCTGGGTGGCTCAGTCAGTTAAATGTCTGACTTCAGCTCAAGCCATGATCTCATCTATCCTCTATCCTGAATTTGATGCTTATCATTTCTATGCATGTTTATACTTTTAGTTCATATGTTTGTATTCATAAACAATATATAACATTGTTTTACATGATTGAATCATTTTATAAATGGTATAATTTGTGCATATTTCTACAATTTGACTTTTTGACTCACCGTTTTTAAGACATATCTTTGTGGATTCAAGTATCTTTCTTATTGCCCTGTTGGTAAAACATTCAGACTGCTTACAGTTTTTTTCTTTCCCTATGCAGATGCTGCAATGAACATTTCTGTACCTGTGAATACATGTGAGAAGGGATCTTAAGGGTAACTATAGTAGGGTGGGCTTTCTGGCTAGTACGGCTTACACCAGTGACACTAGCTGGGTCTAAATGTTTCCTCCTGCTAAACTCTTTTTTTTAAATGTTTATTTGGGGTGCCTGGGTGGCTCAGTCGATTGGGCATCTGACTTTCGCTCAGGTCATGATCTCACGGTTCATGAGTTTGAGCCCCTCATTGGGCTCTGTGCTGACAGCTTGGAGCCTGGAGCCTGCTTCAGATTCTTTGTCTCCCTCTCTCTCTGTCCCTCCCTGCTCATGCTCTGTCTCTCTTTCCTTTAAATATAAATAAACATTAAAAAAATTAAAGAAAAAAGTTTGTTTATTGAGAGAGAGCACACACGAGCAGGGAAGGGGTGGAGAGAGAGAGAGAAAATCCCAAGCAGGCTTCACACTTAGCATGGATCCCAACATGGGGCTCGATCTTGACTATGAGATCCTGACCCTTAAGATCATGACCTGAGCTGAAAGCAAGAGTCAGACACTTAACCGACTGAGCCACCCAGGCACCCCTGCTTTTTATTGGTACATTTTTAGAGGCTGATTGCCTCTTCTTTTGGTTAGTGAAAGGGCTGAACTCTTCATGTCCCTGTGTTACAAATGAGAAAGAGACAATAATCTGCCGAAGAGTAGCTTGGAATGGAACCACAATGTCAAATATTTTCATGCTCCTTCTTTTGCTGCTCTATTATGCTCTCTTTCTTCACTGGGGCCCTGGTAACAGTCACCTGCCCCAGTGTTCTCAGGCATCATAGACTCCTGAGAGAAAAGTTTACAGAGCCTTATTCTGAAGCAGCACTTTTATCCTAAGAGCCATAAACCCTTTTAACATTTCTTCTGAGTCCACGGAATGCTTTCTAAATTTATGTCCCTGGCAGTATGGTTGCACAATTCTAAAATGCAAGATTCACCTCTAAAATGTTCTTTGATATTTCTTTGACTGTATTCATCACACTCCACTGTGGACTATGTTTCTATATGTAAGGACTCTCCCAGAATGTTAATGATGAGGAGCATATTTCTCTCATAAAGAAGTAAAGAAGTAAAACCAAGCAGGAAGCACAAAGGGGTAGCAGACTGGATACTGCCTCAACAACCAGCAGCATTGTGCAGTCACAACCTCTCTTTGTCACTAAGCAACAAGAGGTTGACCTCTGAGATTCTCTTTCCTCAGGCATAGCCTCAAAAAGACAAGAGGAAAGTTTGCCTTTTCTGCTTCCTTCCTGGAAAGATGCAAAGTGCTTTAGTAGGATCCTGGGTAAGAGTGCATTTTACAATTAATCCTGGCCCTTGGCTCTAGGGTAGTACCTGAAATTTGAATGAATCATGAGAATAAATTTAGCAAGACAGGTTTCATTGAGCACACAGGCTCGTGAAGGACCTTGAACTTCCCATTCCCCCTCTGCCATTCTGAGGTCACCCCTGTAGCCTACCTAGTCTTTACAATGCCATGTCCTTTTCCATGTGTCCTGGTCTGATGCTAATCAGCTGAACCTCCTAGTCTAATAGCCACCCCATTTATTCCCAGTCCTTTGCTTGGTCCTCCCACACTTCTGAAATTTGACTGTTCTCTATACTGGGAACATCTTGCAGGCAAAGACTGTTTTCTTCCATGTGTATATCCCATGCCTGGAATGCAGTAAAGGCCCAGTAAATACTATTGAATTAAACTGAATATTGAGCAAGCAGCGTCCAACAGACAGTAGAAAGATGGACAGACAAGTTGGGCAACCTGAGCCCTCAGTGGGATGAAAAGATAAAGGGCCTCTTAGTCATGTATAAGAACCCACAGTAATGGCCAGAGGACAAACTTGGGAGAGCTTCTTTCTGCTCAGGGCTATGATCATGGAGGACCAACCACACCGATCCTCTCCAGGGAGCTCTCAGGACAAAGAGTTGGGCTCTAGGAGTTCCCTGGCTAGACATGCTTATTGTCCATAGGGTGTCTACCTAATGACATCAACACAGTATGGCTCCTTCTTAGATCCCTGATAAATGCTCATTTCTGTCTTTTGCCAGTCCCTGTCTCTGAAATTCTCTCCAGAAGGTATCACTGTTAGTGAAGTACTTATTTTGAAAAGTTTATCCCTTGCTTAGGTGTCCCAGTTTCAGAGGGTGCCCTTCTTGTCCCAGAACATCAGGGTATGTGGCAAACAGGTGTTCATGACTTTGTCAATGGATGCCCAAGATGGATCCATTCAATCCCCAGAGAAAGATCGTATCACTGGACAGTGGCCTGTTCTCAAAACTTTGCTCAGTGCTTTGAATCACCTCAGCTCAGAACCTGTTTGAGCCCCTCCCCTGATGAAAAGTCTCCCTTTGTTCTTAGAAGAGAATCCATATTCTTTTTTCTTTTATTAAAAAAAAATTTGTAATGTTTATTTATTTTTGAGAAAGAGCATGCATGGGGGAGGGACAGAGAGAGAAGGAAACATAGAATCCAAAGGAGGCCCCGGGCTCTGAGCTGTCAGCACAGAACTCAATGAGGGACTTGAACCCATGAGCCACAAGATCACGACCTGGGCTGAAGTCAAATGCCTAACCGACTGAGCCACCCAGGCAACCCAAAAAATGCAGGTGGCCCGAGAATGCATATTCTTAAACCAGTGTTTCCTTGACCTTACCTCACTTGTTTGCTCACAATCCTTTAGTCATAAAGCCTCTTGTTTATTCTAACATATCTCTCTTTTTCTGACCTCCAGTCCTTTTACTCTTTCAGTTCCCATCCCATAGAATATTCTTCTGCTGTTCTTCATACAGCTGACTCCTCACGTTCAGGTCCCACCCTCAATGTCATGAGGGGCTATCCCTGTTCTCTATCACTATTGATCCTAGTCATCAGGTTATTTCTTCCCCGACCCTATTTGCTGTGTCTGACTCCTCCACTAGAAGGAAGATTCACAAGGGCCAGGATCTTTCAGTCCTTTCACTGCTGTCTCCCCAGCTTATATTAGGGCCTCAAGGGAAAGATAGTGAAGAAAGATGGAAGAAAGGAAAGAAGGGAAAGAAAAAAAAAAAAAAGGGGGCGCCTGGGTGGCACAGTCGGTTAAGCATCTGACTTCAGCCAGGTCACGATCTTGCGGTCGGTGAGTTCGAGCCCCGCGTCAGGCTCTGGGCTGATGGCTCAGAGCCTGGAGCCTGTTTCCGATTCTCTGTCTCCCTCTCTCTCTGACCCTCCCCCGTTCATGCTCTGTCTCTCCCTGTCCCAAAAATAAATAAACGTTGAAAAAAAAATTAAAAAAAAAAAAGAAAAAAAAAAAAAAGGTAGCCTTTCCCTGCCCACACATAGCCCTCCCAGGTGAGCCAGCACAGCTAAAGCCAACTGTTCTAATGATGGATGGCAGACGGGTGTCCCTTGTTCTCAGATTCTTTTTATTCTGTCAGTAGCTCCCAAGAGAGGCTTCTAGCCGGGAGACCCTGAGGTCTGAGACTCAGGGTAAGGGTTTGTGAAGGATTCACCCTCATACTTGCCTTGTTATAGCACAACACTGGCTTTTATGGGCACTACAGAGGCCAATTCAAGAGTGAAAGTGCTCAAGAATACCGTCTTGCAGCCAAGCCCCAGCCTCCAGCAGTGTTCCTGCGGCGATGTCAGGTACAAGGTAGCCCTGGGGGAAGCTGGGGTGGCTGGGCCAGTTTCTACTTGTCTCAGACCCCAAGAGCATCATCCCTAGACCTACCACAGCTGGACTGACATCTTATGCCAGCCTATCCCCAGGAAATGCATGAGGCCTGGCTCCTCTTCCCTGAAGTGGCAGGTCTTCCCCTTACAGACAGGGTGGAGAAGAGCTAGTACCAGGCTAGTCTTGCTCAATGTTCTTTCTAGATGTAGGGAGAGTCAGGGCCCAGGTTGGGTAAGTGGCCATGGAAAGAGAGCTTCCAGAATCCATAATGTAAGCCTTGAGTTTTGCCAACAACTGCTCTCAAGCCTAGATTCTTTGATGTCATAAAAGCCCATGGTCAAACACACAGTCAGCCTTATAGTCTGGGGACCCCAGGAGGCCTTCTCTGGTGAGGGAAGCAGCATATAAAGTGACATGTGTAGCCAACGAGGACCAGAAAGGAGTTATGGCAGAGGTGGCTGGAAAAGGCTTCCAGAGAACAGGAGAGAGGTGCAGGGCCCAGACCCTCCACTGCTTCTAGGCCTGGAGACAAGGAGAGGGCACTGAGCATCAGTTGGGGGTCCCAACAGTAAAAAGCTCACTCAATGCAGGAGAACTCAGCAGAGTGTACATGCAAAGGAATAGATGTAAGAGCCTCAGGTAAAGGTGGTATCACAAGTTGGTAACAACCAGGTGGTCAGTACCTTTGGACCCAAAGGGACAAGGGGAAGGTATGGCTCCTAGAACCCAGAAAGAGAGGGTGGTGTGGAGAGAACCACACTGAGAGGAGTCATGATCTTGGGTGGAGAGACACAGACAGGCAAGGGCTAGCCTGGGAGGGAGTTAAGAGAAGAAACACCTCCTCCTTTCTTCTCTCTATCTCCTCCCAGGGCTTTCCAGTGGCCAGAGGGAAGGCAGCCTGGTGAGGAATGCACTCAGATCATCCCTGTGGGCAACAGCAGTGGGAAGACCTTGGAAAGGGACCTGGAGGAGTATCTGGAACATGCTCTGCCCACTACAGCTTCTTGCTTCCCAGCTTCTAGACAGATCCTACTTGATCTGCCATCTGAATTCTCCAGCACTTGCTTTCCCAGGCCAAGAACAGGGTCCTGGAGGCTGCCATGCTATGGAGCCTGAATCTCCTTAGGATTCTCAGTTGGAAGCACTGGCTGGCAATGCCTACTGAGTGAGCCAGGCCCAAATGCAACTCCAGACCGCTCATCTGGGTCCACCTCCCCTTGAGAGTAATGGGACCGGGGTAGTGCAGGGATAGAGGCAAACCGGGGACTTCTGGCTAGGTTTTTGTAGTAGCCCAGTGGCAGTTGTAATCCTAAAAACTGGAACATCCTCTCAATCTGGTCCCCAGGAAAGAAGTAGGGAACATGTTTTGGGGCATATTTTAATTGAAGACTTGTTACACAAAGCATTTACTAGCATTACCACTGGCTCCAAACAGCATGATCTATGTATCTTGGACTCAGATTGTATAAATGCCAAGTATAGTGGCTCTTTCGAGGTCTAAAGCTCTTCTAATTAGTGGGACTGCTTGGGGGAAGGTGCACATTTTATTTTCCTATTAGTTGAGAGATACCAGATTTCAGCCAGCTGATTACAGCTATTGTTGAAAACCTTTCTAAGATGTGACACCACTTTTATTTAGTTTGGAGCAGGTAGAAATTTTGTTCATGTCATTTAGATGCAAGAAATTTCTCTTTTCTTCTTTTTATCTTCTAGATGAGATTAATTTATTGGTAGCTTTCACCTACCTAACTCTTGGGACATGTAATCCTGGTTCTGTTGGTTCTTAAGATCAGACAAGAGTCCCAGGGACCCATGATTTGGAGTAGGTCTTTCATTGGCAGTGCAACCCCTGCCATGCCTCAGTCAGTTACAGGGGCTCCTCACTCAGCACCCTACTGACTGCAAAATGCCCAGCCTCCACAGGGTCCCTTAGCCTTCCCATACACAAATATTGCCCCCTCCCAAGAAATCTACTTCTCCTCCAAGGCCTCTTCAGCTGGAACCCCAGCCCAAGATGCACCTGCTCAGAGACTATAGGCTTTACTACCTCAATGGAAAAGGAGCATTAGATGGTTTAGAAGCAAAGAAGCAGGTGAAATTCTCTCCAGGTACAGAAATACTCAGAACTGCCTGGGTGGAAGGAAATGACCACACTTCTCACCAGGCTCTCACTATTGTGAGAACAAAACTTAAGTCAGTGGGAGTCACTAGATTATCCTGCCACTGTAAGAATAGTGAGTTTTGCTTTTCTGGGGATGGTGTCTAGAGGCATTCAGAATGATCCAAAGTTTGGCATAACATCATAGGCCATCCTACAATACAGTCTCTAACAAAACTAAGCTGTCCTGAATCCATGGTAATAGAGTTGTGTACTTTTATACCAACAAGATTGGAAAAGCCCCCAAATCTGCGTGTGGCACATGAGCAGGCTGACTTCAAGAAGTTTGTGCTGTGAGACCTAAAGTTCTTATGAGGTTGTCTAAAACAGAAAACCATGTCAGCGGGGTGGTACTTCACATATGCTAAGTGTGTCCATGACCAGATCAAGTGTGCTTTCCTTATTGAGGAGCAGAAAAACGCTGTTAAAGTGTTGAAGGCACAAATGCAGTCAGAAAGCTAATTTTTTTAATGAAACTTTTTTGAGTAATTTTTTTAAAAATCAAAAGACAAAAATATATATATAGTGAGTTTTCATAGTCAGGGCTGCCTCCAACAACAGAGGCATCCACATTCCAGGGCTGTGTACAATTCTTCAGCTGAGGATAGAGATGCAAAAGAAATTTGGGGATCAATTGGAACTTGCTGCAGATTCCCAGGGGTTTTTTTATTGAAATTTTTACTGAAACAATTATAAATTCATAAGCTGTTATGAGAAATAATAGAAATCCTTTCTACATTTTTCCCAGTTTCCCCCAATGATAACATTTTGCAAAACTATATTATAATATCACAACCAGGACATTTTCATTAATGCAATCCACCTATCTCAGATTTCCAGTTTTACTTATTCTCATTTCTGTGTGTATATTAAGATCTATAAAATTTTATCACCAATGTAGGTTTGTGTATCCACCACCACAGTTAAGATACTGGCCAACCTCACAAGTATCCCTGGTTCTGGCCTTTTGTGACCACACCCACCAGCCTTCTGCTCCTCCACCCTTCTTCTGTCTCTTATCGCTGGCAACCACCACTCTCTTCTCCCTAAAATTTTGTCACTTCAAAATGTTATATAGGGGCACCTGAGTGGCTCAGTCGGTCAAGTGTCCAACTCTTGGTTTCAGCTCAGGTCATGATCTTATAGTTTCATGAATTTGAGCCCCTGCATCAGGCTCCACGGATTCTCTCTCCCTGTCTCTCTGCCCCTCCCCCACTCACGCTATCTCTGTCTCTCTCAAAATAAATAAACCTTAAAAAAGATTATATAAATAAAATGATACAGCATGAAACCTTTGGACATTGGTTTTTCTTTCTCAGCATAATTTCCTAGAGATTCATCTAAGTTCATGGTTCATTCCTCTTCACTACTGAGTAGTATTCTATGGTACGTATATGCCACTTTGTGTAACGATTCACCTATTAGAGGATATCTGGGCTGATTCTAGTTTTTGACTCTTATAAAAAAAGCTGCTATGAACATTTGTGTACAGGTTTTGGGGGGAACATAAATTTTCATTTCTTTAGAATAAATGTCCAGGAATGCAATTGCTGGGTCACATGGTAGTTGTATGTTTAGTTTTTAAAAGAAACTGCTGAACTGTTTCCTAGAGTGAATGACTGTACCACTTTACATCCCCACCAGCAATGTATTAATGATCTAGTTTCTCTGCATTCTCCCCAATATTCGGTGTTGTCTCTATGTTTTATTTTAGTCATTCTGATTAATATGTCATGATATCTCATTGTGATTTTAATTTGCATTTCCCTAACGTTTAATGATGGTGAACATCTTTTCCTGTGTTATTTGCCATCTGTATATCCTCTTTGGTGAAATGTCTTCATGTTGTTTGCCCATTTTCTAATTGGATTTTTTTTTAATTTTACTTTTATTTTTTTAAATTTACATCCAAATTAGTTAGCATATAGTGCAACAATGATTTCAGGAGTAGATTCCTTAGTGCCCCTTACCCATTTAGCCCACCCCCCCCCACAACCCCTCCAGTAACCCTCTGTTTGTTCTCCATATTTATGAGTCTCTTCTGTTTTGTCCCCCTCCCTGTTTTTATATTATTTTTGTTTCCCTTCCCTTCCCTTATGTTCATCTGTTTTGTCCCTTAACATCCTCATATGAGTGAAGTCATATGATTTTTGTCTTTCTCTGACTAATTTCACTTAGCATAATACCCTCCAGTTCCATCCACGTTGTTGCAAATGGCAAGATTTCATTCTTCTTGATTGCCGAGTAATACTCCATTGTATATATATACCACATCTTCTTTATCCATTCATCCATCGATGGACATTTGGGCTCTTTGCATACTTTGGCTATTGTTGATAGTGCTGCTATAAACATGGGGATGCATGTGTCCCTTCAAAACAGCACACCTGTATCCTGTGGGTAAATACCTAGTAGTGGTTGTAGGGTAGTTCTATTTTTAGTATTTTGAGGAACCTTCATACCGTTTTCCGGAGTGGCTGCACCAGCTTGCATTCCCATAATTGGATTGTTATTTTATTGTTGAATTGTGAGAATTCTCTATATATTCTAGATATTATTCCTTCATTGGATATTTGGTTTGCAAATATTTTCTCCCAGTCTGTAGCTTGTTTTTTCATCCTCTTTACATAAACTTTCACAGAGAAAAACTTGAAAAAATTTTTTGATGAGGTCCAGTTTGTCAATTTTTTCTTTTATTGCTCTTGCTTTTGGTGTCAAGTCTAAGAACTCTTTCCCTAGTTCTAGATTCTGAAGATTTTTTCCTATTTTTTTTTTTTTTTTCTAAAAGGGTCCTGGGTTTTTAATCTCTGTCGTGTCAGCTTGCTTTATGAGGAATGGAAGGTAAGGCTGGCTGGCTTCCCACCTTCATGGAGTTTTCAATCTACCTGGAAAACCGGCACCAGGTGTCTAAGGCAGGATCTCCTGTAGGGGAGCTTTTTAAAGACACACACCACAGGCTCCACCCTGAAGAATCTGGTTCAGGGATCTGGGATGGATCTAGGCCCAGCCTTTACTCTAGGAACCTGCTGTCAGCCACTGCTCATACCCCAACCCAGGAAAGCCTGAACTCATCAGATCAGACACTTCATTCAAGTCTACAGCAGGAGAAGCTGAATGACTGACTAGAGACTGGGGACTCTGGGGGCAGAGACCAGGCACAAAGGCAAGGTTGATGGTCTTGGGAGAGATTTCTATTGAGGTCTGGGGGTTTGGGAGGTGGTCTTTCTCTGCCTGGGGATAGGGCATGGTTCTCTGGCTCCCAGTTGGGCCAAAGCAAATGCCCCAGGGACCTCTGTCCCTGTTCATGATTTAAACAGCAAACACATATTGAGCCCAGTGCCAGGCACTATGCTCAGTTTTGGAGTTACAGATGTGAGCAAAACAGACAATAACCTTTGCCCACAATGAGCTTATGTTCTAGTCAGGAGTATTAGCTGGTAAGCAACATCATACTATGTAGTCACATAGTATTCCAGAAAGTGAAAAATGCAGAGTTGGCATGATGGCACTGCTGGTGTAGTGCTTGAAGAAGCCCTCCCAAGAAGGAAGTGAGAGGGAGTCCTATGGCCAGTTGCAGGAAGAGTCCCAGACAGAAAGCACAGGTGGTGCACAGGTGGAGCAGTAAAGATGCCAGTGCGAGTTGCAGGTAATGGAGGGATCAATATAGTGTGGGTCTCATGGACCACTGTGAAGACTTTGGCTTTTACAAACATGAGGAACTGTCATGGGTTTTCAGCAAACAAGAAAGGTGATCTGATCTATGTATCATAAGAATTATTCTGCCTATTAAGAGGACAACAGACTGGAGGGAAAAGCTTGGAAGCAGGGACACCAGGTAGGAAGCTCTTTCAATAATTCAAGCAAGAGAAGGAGGTGGCCCTTGAATGAGAGAAAGCAGTGAACTTGCTGAGGAATGGTCCAATCCTAGGTTCATATTGAAGGAATGATCAACAGGATTTCTTGACACACTGGATGTAGGGTATGAAAGAAAAGAATCAAGTGGACTTCAAGGTGTTTGGTAGGACCTAGCTGCCATGACCTGAGCTGGGGGAGGCTCTGAGTGGTGGGGGGGTGGGGTTGGGGAATGATCCAGAGCTCAGTCATGTGTTTGGAGATACCTGGAAGACATTTACAAGGGGCTATGAAATAGGCTGTTGGCTATTGAGTCTAGAATTCAGGAGAGAGCTCAAGCTAGAGAGAGAATTGACAGTTTTCAGGTGGTACTTACTTAGGTCCAAGAGTTTGGGTTGCTGATGAGGGATTAAATGTAGACAGAAAGGAAGCCTCTGGTCCTGGTCCTGGGCAATCTAGAGATAAAGGGTCTGACACGAACCTTGAACCACTGCCCTCCTGATGGCAGTATGTCTTAGAAGATGCCTCAGCCCCATCCTCAATCAGCAGCCCTAGAGACTTTTGCTTTGGAGGCAAATGCCAGCATGAGATGTCCTAGGAGTAAGGCGGTGCTTTAATTTGTAACTGCCCTTTCAGGATTTTGGCAAGTTTAGCAGTTTAGGGGTAGTAGCTCCTGGCAGCTTGCCTCCATTATGGGTCCTGAGATAACATCTTAAGGGCAGGTAAGCATCATTTCCCCCCATTCACCTTCTTTCTCACTGTCTTTAAAGGAGCCAGCACAGCAACACTTCTTCTCCAAGCATGACAACCGTACTTCTTTCGACAAAGTGAGTGAAGAAAGGAAGGAGAGTGGGCAGACCCTCAGCCTAGGTTGAAGTTGAGGTAGGGTGGAGGGGATAAGACACTGTGGGGAGGGAGGGCTCCTGACAATCTCTCTTGTCTGGAAAATAGCCCATTCCCCAAACAGAGGTTTGGTTTCAGCCACTGGCTTGCCTGACAATGTGCAAGTATTCTGGGGCCCACTGACTTTCTAGAGGCTTCACCCTGGAATGGAAGGCATGGCTGGGGAGCAGGCCAAAGAGGCTGGGGTATGGGCCAGGGGAGCCAGGCATCACCAAGCAGGCTTGGGTTGAGGAGGACCTAAGGAGGGAGGTGTGTGGTTCCAGGACTGTGGGCCAACGGCCCATACCGTTGAGGAGGGCCCCTACTGCCTGCTGCAGGGAATCGGAAGGCGAAAAGACCTGGAGCACCTGTGGCAGCGGCACACCTTCTTGCGCTGGGCACCCTGTGAGCTGGAGTTGAGCCAGCAGCGGCCCCTTGAATCCTCCTACCAGGCCAATTTCCGGTCAGGCCCTGGACTCAGTGACCTCCCCCAGCGCCTTGTCCACTTTGTGCAGATCCAGCCTCCCCGTACCAGCACCACCTATCAGCAGAACTTCTGCCAACCATCCCAGGGTGGCCATTGTGGCAGCAACAATGTGGGGCCAGTCACCAACACACTGCCTGACCTCCCAGGGATCCCAAGACCCAAGCTGCTGCAGCATTACCTTCATGCTGGGGTCTCTGAGTGTCTAAACTGGTCCAGAGCATTAAACAAGGATGGCTAACACAGAGGCCTATCTGTGCTTACAGCCCAAGGGGTCTTAGAAGCTGGAGAGCAGTAAGGTCCATAGTGCCTGTGTGCTGGGCAGGGGAGGATGTGCCCTGGGAACCCTGCCACTAAGTGAGAAGGGGTAAAGTCTATAGGAAGTACCATGGCCAAAGCAAGTCAGTTCTGGGAGTACCTTGCACTCAGTGTGGCTGCAGGGAAAGCAGAGTCAGTGACCCCTACTTGTATCCAGCAAAGACTGAAGGAGGAGGCAAAGGATGGCAGCTTTGATTTCTCCAGGAGGCTATTATGTCTCTAGGGGTCTGGTGTGTGGCCACATAGTTATGCCTAAGCTGGGACAGGGGGAGACTGCCCTGGCCACAGCCTATACTGGGCTACCCCTCCCTATGGAGGTGAGCAGACGAGGAGCTGCTGGGTGACATGGACCTTGAGGTCATCCTGACCCTGAGGTGCTTTGTTGTAGTTTTCTGAGCTTTTCTTTGACTATCGTGTGAGTATCCTCTAACACCAGGACAGTTGCGGGGGGTGGGGGTGGGGTAGACAGCAGTCATCCTATGTCACCAAAAGAGAAGCTGAGGCTTAGGTGGGGCTAAGACATCAGAGGCCAGATTCAAAAGGCTACTCTGAACCCTCATCCCTGGGAGAGTTGAGACTCCTGAAGGAGGGCCAAAGGTTGCAGGGGCAACACAGGAGTCCACACCAGGGACACACCAGATTTTAGCAGCACTTTTACTTTCATGTCTGAACTTCCTGGGTCCTCACAACAGCCCTGTGAGGTAGGTAGGGCAGGAAGGTTTCAGAGATCCCCATTTACGGATGAGGATGCTGAGGCACAGAGAGGTGAAATGACTTGCTCAAGATCACACAGTCAACAGTGTAAAGGGCCCAAAGCCTATATTCTTCCGGTCCTCTAAAGGTTCCTGTATCCACTCCTCCATCCCCTCTGTGTCCCCTGCCCTCTCTGAACCCTCCTGGGGCCACAGAGGCCTTCAAGGCAGGCTGGCAGCTAGGATTTTTCAGGAACAGCCATTGGGGTGAGACTGGTCAACTCTAGGTAGGCACTAATCCTGTGGGACATGAGGCCAGCTCTCCCAGCCTCCCACTTCCCAATTAGACAGAGGGCCCAGTAGTTCCAGAGCAAGTGTGGAGCTAGGCGTGGTCCATGAATGAATGGGGATAAAAGTGAGTATAAGCATATATGTCCTGCACTAAAGACAAAGCCCCCCCCACCCTTTGAGACATTCATCTCAATTGCCTGCCCCTGTGCCTCCCTCATCCCACAGAGCCACAGTGAGCTTCTTCAGCAGCAAAAGGAGCCACAGACATTTGTCTCTGGCACTGTGCTGCTCCAGTGGACCTGTCCCATCAGGCATTCAGACCCCATCACGCAGACACAATGCCTCCACAGCTTGGCTAGGACCCTGGGCCACACCCCCAATGACAAACAGCCGGGGCCCAGCCTGCAGACTAGAACAGGAGCAGCGGGCTGTGGGCATGGCAGGCAGGGCCTCCCAGCGCCGCCGTGCAAGGCTGAAGCCCTCCACGGAGCCCAGAGGGCATGGCTGGTTTCCTGCAGGAAAGAGACAGAAGTTGTAAATGGCACAGACTGCAAGGACTCCAGCTCTTTTGCTTGGGTTACTAGGGCCTTGCTACTCATCACTCCCATTCATCATTCGTTCATTTCTTCGTATTTCTATTTGTCCATTCATTCAGTGGTCACTTGACCTGTTTCTGTCTCCTAAACCTCTGCTGGTACAAAGCCCACAGTCAGGTGCTGAGGGACACCCCAAGAGTTAGGCCGTGCAGACCACACCCTGCCTGTCTCACAGACTGGGAAAGGGAAGCTCACAAAGCCCTGATCCCTGGAGTACCTGGAGAAGGGCAGGAGGGAGTGCTCATGCTTGGGGTTACTCCCGCCTGTCTTGGACTCGCCTCCTATCCCTAGCCCCACAGATACTCACCAAGGCCCCCAATGGCCATGATGTGGCCCCCAAGGGAGCCAACCACAAAGTCGGCCCTCTTATCCCTCATGCGCAGGCTGCGGGGCAGCTTGGTCCAGAACCCTGCAGGAAAGGGGAGGTCAGATCAAGCCCCCCAACACACACTGTGCCCCTCCATCCCACGGAAAGTGGGAGGCCAGCCCAGGCCAGCCACTGCTCACCATGTTCCAGGTCGAACATCTCCACAGTGTTGACAAAATGTGGGCGGGAGTAGAAATTGTGGGGCCCAGGCTGCTGCAGGCCACCCAGGCTAAAGACGTTGCCTTCTGCCATGGCACAGCCGGCAAAGGCTCGGCGGCTGGGCAGGCTTGGGTGCCGGGTCCAGGTACAGGCCTCCAGATCAAAAGCCTCAAAAGCAGTCACTGGGAGCTTTCCCTGGCGGCCCCCTGCCAATGGAATTGGAGCACCTTGGAAGGAGCCTAGGAGGCCTGGCAGGCTCCTCCTTCACCAGGTTGCTAAGCTGCCCACCTTAGCTACCCATACCCAGCTGTGTGCACAACAGAGCATGAATCACCCACCCTGAAGATCCTCAGGCATTGGGGTTTGGTTTTCCAGCCTTAGTAGGGCCACCAGAGATCAGAGCCTCCAAGCAAGCCTGGTTCACCCAAAACTTCTCTTGTTCTGCCATCCCAGACTAAGCCTGATCCCAGCCAACCTATGAAAATAGGTGCTTCTGCACTTCGAGCCCCTTTCCCACATCCTTCCCCCGCCCCCACCCCCAGGCCCTTACCCAGGACATAGATCTTGTTCCCGTGCAGGAAGGTGGAAGCCCCGTAGCAGGGTGTGGGCATGGAGGGTAGTGAAAGCCAGCAGTCCCGCCTGGGCTCATACACCCGAACTTGGGCCTGGGGGGCCGTGTCAGGACCCATTCCCCCCAGAGCATACACCATACCATCTGCATAGAAAAGAGCGATTCAGAGTGCACCTCAGCCTGGCCAGGGCACTCTACCCTGACAGCTGCACTGGTCAGGTCTGGGGGTGGGTGGGGACCCACTTCTGTGTAGTACATCTCCCAAGCAGCAGAAACCCTCCTTACTTCCCAGAGTGGGGGCTGGGAGAGCTAGGATTCCTGCTCTGGCCAGGGCCCCTCCAAGTGAAGAGCAGGAGGCAGATGATCTAATTATAATCCATCTCTGTCTCCCTGGAGATGCTATGGCAACCAAATCTGGCATCTAAGCAGGACCGGTGGTCAGACCTGGAGGCCACAAGGTGGGGACTTCCCTAGGGGAAGGAAGGTGGAGGATGATTTAAGTCGGGGAGGGGCATATGGGGATCTGCTCAGCATAGAGCTCAGACTGGGGAGGGAACTCTGGAGATCAGCTGGGGGCTGGGAGAGGAGCTTAGGCTTGTAGGATGGAGGTGCTGGCTCCAAGCCTTCTGCCAAAGAGCCCTGCCAGCACCTCTATATCCTGCCCTTTTAGAGTAGGTTCTTGCCCTGTTACACCCTCAGGGTCAGCTGGGAGCATGTCTGGGGGGCCTTGGGGAACCGGGTCAGTCAGCTGAGGGCTTCCATGGCAACCATCCCCAGGCTAGCTTGGCCTTCCCATCTCAGGCTCCCTGGTAAGTGTGTATATGGGAGGAAGGTGGGGGGAATCTAAGCACTTACTGGGCTCTGAGCCAAGGCCCTGTTCCCATCCCCCTCCCCCAGACTATTTATAACCCTGAGAGTCATTGAACTACTCCTCCTTGTGTCTTAGAGAGGAGGAATGGTCAGGGAGGTGGTTGGTGCCTCCCATCATTCTGAGGGCCAGCCTGGGCTCGTTCTCCCACTTCACAGCTGGAAAAGGCAATTAAGGCTGCTGTTAGCTCAGCTCAGAGCTGGGTAGGAGAGGGTCTTTACAAGAATCAAATCTATGTCCAGGGTACTCAGAAAAAATTTACATCTTTTTTCCAATCTCTAAGAGTAAGGGACCAAGGAAAGGATGGAGGGTGTTGGAGCACCTCAGGGACCTCCTTAAGGCCACTCACCTCTCTCCACAGTTGCAACCCCCATGGCTGCCTGAGGGAGGGTGGCCCGACGCTCCCAGCGGCCCTCATCAGCCAGGAAGGCCTCCACAGCAGCTACAGGGCTCTGGCCCTCATCCACACCGCCCACCACTAGCACCTGCTTGCCCAGCACCACAGCAGCCGCACCAGCCCGGGCAGTGGGCAGGGGTGCCAGTGTGAGCCATGTATGCGAGGCCATGTCCAGTGTCTCAGCAGTGTCCAGGGGCAGTCCAGCCCGGCCACAGCCCCCCAACACTAGCAGGTGCCCATCCTGGTATGCCACTGTGCCATACACCCGGCAGGTGGGCATGGGTGGGAACACCTGCCAAGCAAAGGCCCGGCCACCTCCTGTAGCCATGGTGTTCACCTCCAGTGGTAGGCCATACTATCTGCTCAGGCTGTAGGCCTCACTGAGGGGCATGATGCGGCCTCATCTTGACTCTATCAGGACTACAGGGAGTGTCTGACCAATCCAGGGACCTTGCCTTCACCTGGAGGAGAGAGGGAAAACAAAGGGTCAGGGCCATTGACCAGTCCCTCGGGGTACAGTTGAGCAGTCTGTAGGTAAGGGCAGGACTGGCTCAGAATCACTGGTGGGAAGGCATGGGGGAGGACATACCCCTGTTGGCTAGCACACCACTGCTGAGGTGCCTCTGGGGTGGGAAAGAAGGCAGATTACCAGATACTCAGGCAAATTCCCCTCTTCCTATGGGGCATGAAGGATTCTCCTCCCACCCCCTGCCTTCACCTAACACCTCCACCCCAGCCAAATCTAGGTCTAGGTGGTAGGTAAGTAATCTAGGTCTAGGTGGTAGGTAAGTTGACTAGGATAAGACACTCCACCCTGGCCCCCTTCCCTTCCTTTCAACAATCCTCATTCTGGTGCTTTGCATGAATGGAGTCCTACTGTACCCTCCCCTTATTGGCTTCCAGTGGGTCTCCCACATGCTGCCAGGGATCAGACTCCAGGGTATACTTACAACCCTTTTGGGGGCCATTCCATAGAGATCATCCATTCCCACCAGCAAAAGGCCAAGATCAGGGCGTTTGGGACTAGGAGAGGAGGAGATGGACGCCAGGGCCCCACATTCCCCCTTCAGGTCTACTATCAGGGGGTTGTTCGTGCCAGGTTCCCAGAGGCCAGTCTCCTTGGTGTCCAGAAGTAGGGGAGGGGGGTTGATTTGGGGATCCCATGATCATAGGACTCTAGACTCCCATAGTCCAGGGCGTTTCCAGTAGGAATGAGCAGCTGGACTTCCACAGCAGATCCCCAAGTTCCTCAGCCTTTCCTTTCCCGTGGGGGGCACGCTCCTGGGACCCTTGGAGCGATGGCCTCCTGGCCCCAAACTTCCAGCTCGCGGGAGGCGGGGGGCGGGTCCAGGCGAGCGCGCTTGGGGCTCTGCGCCCAGCGCCCCAAACTTCCCCTGAGCGCGGCTCCTGCGGGACTCACCGGCCGGGGCTCCGGCGCCGCCGGGACGCGGGGTCCGCCGTTCCGGCTCCGTGCCGGCTCTGGCTGGGGCTGAGGCCAGCCTCCGCGGGGCTTCGGCGGGGCTCCGGCTCGGCTCGGCGCGGGGCGGGGCTGGACCGGGTCCGCCCCTCGTCCCCCCTCCCGACTGGGGAAAATCTCCCCCCGCCTTAACCCTGCACCTGCCGTGGCCAGAGCAGGGCGCGTCGACCCACAGTCACACGCAAACCGGTAAACAGACAAATGGACATGTGGACGCTGGGCCTGTCCAGGATTTAGGGTCCGACCTCGGGCGGGAGGAGAAATGAAGCAGCAGTGAGCAGCACACGTGTGTGGTGGGGAATCGTTCTGAGTGGGACCCAGCCTGGGGAACACCCGCGGGGGAAGGGGCGGAGGGCGGGCTAGCAGAACTAGCAGGCTTGGGGGACCGGCGCCCGCCCACCGGCACTAAGCTCAAAGAGCCCAAAGACCGGCTTCGCGGCGGCGCCCCCTGGAGGACGTTTGGGGCGTGGCCTGGGCCTTTGGTGGGGTCGGTGGCTGGGTCGCACTTCCCCAGGCACACAGCAGGGCGCTGAATAAGTCCTATGGTGGACAGTGAGGCTAGCAGGGGATGGAGGAGCACACAGTGCCGGCCTCAGTGCTTGACAGGCCCTTCCACAGGCCTGGGTGGGGAAAGTTCTTGTGGGGAGGGTAGCTCTGAGTAAGGGATGAACTTTAAGAATCAGAGGCCAGGCAGGTCTCTCTCTAGGGCCTGAGGCCTGGGCTACTCTGGGGCCCAAGACATTTTGTGACTGTTCATAGCAAGTTGGTATGACAGAGGCCTATTTATTTCAGACCCAGACCCTGGCCCAGCCTATCTTCTGAGCATGCAGAGTATTGGCTAAGTCTGTGAGCTGGGAGCCCATTCGTGCAGGTTGGTGGTCACCCAGAAGAAATCCTGTGGGTTTCTGTGCTTGCTACTATCTTGTCCCTCTTTCATGGACAGTGTGTGTCTCACTTTCCCCAGAAGCACATCTGGAGGTAAAGATAGCAGTATATATAGTTAATGTGGGAGATGAGGCCAAGAAGCACCAGCAGAGGAGTGGCAAAAAGAGAAAGCAGCCAATAAAGGGTGTGTCATCAAGCAAGTTACCACTGTTGGCAACTGGGACCAAATCTTGCTGGGTTCTCTCCCAGAGCAAAGGTTGCTTGAGGAATTCATTCTCAAATCTCCATCAGTCACGGGTTGAGAGCTGCTGGCGGGGGGGGGGGGGGGGGGGGGGGGGGGAGGGGCCGAGCGTGGCCAAGCCCAGCCCACCCCGGCCGGGGCCCGCCCAGTTGCCAGCCCAGGGGAATAG